AAATAGTTGTGGAACACCTGATAACACATCTATTCATAAAAGAATTTACAGCAGACAGATAATATTCTAAAATACTGCAGATATTTTCTCACACATAGTTGTATCAAACAAAATGACTATAAAAATACAACAAATAAATATACGTTCTGATAGAAATGAAAGATTTAAGGACTAAAAATGTCTGTAACTTTATTGATTTCCATTTGATGAGTTTTTGTTAGCTGTCCCTCAGTCCTGCTGTGAGTTGTTGTGAAATGGCTGCTTCCTGTTTCATCATCTGAAACGATGACCTCGCCTTCTCTTAATAAGGCAGTTTTGTTTAAAAAAAAAAGAAAAGAAAAAGCTTCTCATTTATTAAAATGTCATCACTCATGTTGTGTCATCTCCGTTCAGGTCCAGGATGTTTGTTTCTTTCACCATGTTTCTAACTTTTTCACCTGACACGTTCTTGTTATCTCCAGCTGCTCTCACCGAACCTGAGATCTGTTACGTGCTGGACGGCATCCTGTTTCTGTACGGCATCATCCTGACCACCCTCTACTGCAGAATCAGGGTACGCATCAACACCGAGCAAACATCTTCACCACAGCACAGGCGAAACACTGATAAGAATCTCACACACTGGAAACATCAAGTTTTCCCCTGAGTGACACCTGTTCACCATTAAAACCAGTCGATGAACTCACAAACTCATTTCTGTTTACAGACATTAACAGGGTATTTTAAAACGTGGTTCTGTAGAAGCGTTAYGAACAATCAACATCTTACCTGTTCCAGATAGATTTTTGAAGAAATAGAGTTAAAATTTAAATACATTTCATACAGGTTGTCTATAATCTACATGGATTCCCCCCTCATTTTGCAGGTGTACAGACAAACAGAGCAATCTCACAGATTTTTTTCAAATTTTACGTATTTTTTCCCCGAAAACACAGTTTTAAATTTATTTAATCCATCAGAGCCTGGACTTTAAAAAACAATAAATAACATCAAATAACCATCTTGCAAACTGCTCTGCTGCACTCTAAAAATGAAATGTTGGATTTACTTAACCATGTTATGTGACCTGGTTCCACTTAACTGAGTTGAGTAAATTCAAAGCAACATACTCATGTTCTTTGGTTAAAAAAACTGGCATGTTGCTTTGAATTTACTCAACTCAGTTAAGTGGAACCAGGTCACATAACATGGTTAAGTAAATCCAACATATCATTTTTTACAGTGTGCTATAAAGTAATTCTCCCGTCCTCATTTCATACAATATTTTTGTGAAATTTACTAATTTTTGAGGCTTGTTATACAGATAAACGTCCAAAAAGGTTGTATGACGTATGATTTTGACAGGATTGATAAGGCTGGTCAAAACACAGCTCAAACTAAAGTGGATTTCTGCCATTGCAAAAATAGTTTTAAAGGAATAGTCTGGTCATTTATGGAGTTTTGTCTAATAAGTTATTAAAAGTTTGTTCCTTATCAACTGTAACAACAGTCATAAAACATAGCCCTAAAATAACAGGCCTTAAAAAAGCAGCTTCTTCTCAGAAATGACACTTATTTAAAAGCTAATAATAAACGTCTTCACTTTAGAATGACTACATTGTGAATGTATTTGCACCATTAATGAGCCGTGCTGAACACACATACATTTACAGTATGTAATAACATGATCACTGTGAGTAACAACAAACTAAAAAATGGTTTCATGCAAAAGTGCAGATTTCAATATTAGCTAATGTATTGTTATTTTATAAYGGTAAGAAGTCATCAACATATGAAACAGATCCTGGCTTGGTTAGCTGTTAGCCTGACCTGGATGAAATCTTCTGCTCTTTTCTTCGTGCTCTATGATTGATGTCATGACCAATAGGATGAAACAAAACTTCAAAAATGAACAGACGACTCATTTAACACTATTATTTCATAGTCATTCGTCCAAACACTGGTTTCTAAGTGTCTAAATGACATTATACATGATTATGTAAAACAGCATCAGTGAGAGCTAGCCTGGCACTTTTGGTGCAGTTTTATAATGTTTATGATAAATAGGTTGTGTAACGTGAAACTAACAGAAACATAAAGGATTTTCTCCAAACTGTGTTCAGTGAAAGAGCTATGTGAAGATATTAACTGTTCATAACTTTACCACAGAGATTTGATTCAAAATGGGCAAAGTATTTATTTAATGCAAACTTTACAATCAAAAAAATTCTCTGTTACAATAAAAAATATCTAAATGTGTGCTTGTTATTAGTTTTGTGTTTTTTTTTCTTATGGAAAAACAAACTAATTCTAGCTGACATTGAACAAACTACAAAGGAGGGAAGTTTACATTTTAAATGAAAGTTTAAATAAAACRTTATGGAGGACTGAAGCTGACATAATTAAAAATAAAAGCAGAAACATAAAAATGTCCCCGTAAATAATTAAATACACTTAAAATGCAACATTTATTTTTATAAAAGGAAAACTTTACCTGATGTTTTATAATTTAATTGACCTTCATATTTATTTTTTACAGCTTAGTTCCAACAATATGTATTTAATTTTTAATAGTTTTAAACATAGATTTTGTACATGCATCTGTTTCTCTTAAATGCTTTATTTTTTTGTTGTAGTTTCCCACAGGAGTTTTTGTGTTGTTTCCTGTTGTTACTTTGGCTTTTGTATTCATGCCTCGTTATGTAAATAAGGTAGGCGGAGCTTCTTGGATCAGCTCCTCTCCTATTGGTCAACAGACAGGAAGGAGGATCCGTGTGCAGATTGATTGTGCAGGGTTCTTTTTAATTAAGAGATACAAATCCATCTAATTCATCTACAAGTAAAAAGGAAAAACAAAAAACATTTTTTTAAAAACAGTAAAACTTAATTATGTGCTAAAATATAATTTGTTGGAACCAAGCTGGAAAAAAATGAAGGTCAATTAAATCATAAAACATGAGGTAAAGT